ATTCCAGCCCGCAATAGGTCTAACCACCACATTTTGCCCAAACCCTTAGCCCACAACCAGCTAGAGCAAAATACTACAACCACCTACACAATCAACAAGTGTGAGGTGCCTGGGGGTGCTGAGCCTGGGGGTGTGGAGTCTGAGGGCACTGCGCCTGCACGTACTGAGCCTACGAGTCAGGAGCCTGGAGGTAATCTGCCGGCGGGTACTACGTCTGGGGGTGCCGAGCCTGTGTCTGTGGAGACTGGGGGTTCTGAGCCTGGAGTTGAGCTGATTGAGGGTGCTGCTGGGACGCGGTCCCCTTGGAGTGCCCGCCTTCGTCCACGTGTCCCCCTCACCTCGCAGCAGCTGCACGACTGGTTCGGGCGCCGTCAGGGTCGCGCTGCTGGAGCGCAAGGCACTACTTCTGGGGGTGTTGGAGTTGCTGCCTCTGGTCCCAGAGGTGCTCGTACCGGGGGTACTGGAGCTGCTGGGACTGGAGGCACTCTGCGTGAGGGTGCTGCTGCTGGAGACCCTGGGTCTGGGGGTGCTGCTGCTGGAGACCCTGGGTCTGGGGGTGCTGCTGCTGGAGACACGGAGCCTAGAGACCCAGGGACTGGAGGTGCCGGTTCTGGGGGTGCTGCGGCTGGTGACACTGGTCCTGGAGGAGCTGCTACTGGTGGTGCTGGAGCTGCTGGAGGTCCTGGAGCTGCTGGAGGTGCTGCTGCTGGCGCCTGTGGCCCGGTGCAGCCGAGACTGTTCTTCGCTCCGCCGTCTCCGTCGACTCAGCCACCGCCTGACTCTGCGCTTCGCCAGGTTCTTAGCCTACCGTCGTCTACTGGTCTTCCGTTACAGCCTGGCTCACCGCCGCCTGCGCCTTCTCCTTACTCTGAGCAGCCCGGTGGTCCTGCTGAGCGTCGTGAGCCTGTGTCGCGTCCTGTCTCGCCTGTCCGTCCTGGTCGTTCCGGTCGTCGTGTTCCTCGTCCGCGTCAGCCGGCTGTCCCCGGCACACGCCTCGTAGCTCGTCGTCCTTCCTCGTCTCCGCAGTCTGTTCCTCTGCCGTCTCCCCCTGCGTCCTCTCTGCCTGACGTTCCGGACCCTGAGTCTGACCGGTTTCATGCTGAGCACCCTACTGTCACGCGTCTGTTAGCTACTGTTGTCACTGACCCGTCTTTTGAGTCTACTGCTGCGTCTGCCTTGGTCGCTGAGCTTGTTGACTTTGCTGCTGCCTGTCGTCTAGACTACACTGCCAGTCTTGTTACTGAGTCTGCGTCTGTCTGTCCTCCGTCCGTCGGGGGTGAGTGTGCTCTTAGCACGGACGTCCTTGAGGACATGCAGGAGGACTTTCACTGTCTTGCGGCTGCTGTACCTCATCTCACGGCCTGGCTGCTTGCCCCTGAGGGAGACCCGGATGCGCTAGACATCCCGACCCCTCGCTCTTACAAGAGGCGGTCTCGGGTCCCTACTCCTCTCAGTGGCAGAAAGCCATGGACGCAGAAATGGCATTCTTGAAGTCCACAGGCACCTACGTCGACGCAGTTCCCCCTCCTGGGGCGAACATCGTCAATGGCATGTGGATTTTCTGGGTGAAGCGGCCGCCGGGTTCTCCGCCTGTCTTCAAGGCTCGTTACGTTGCTCGAGGCTTCAGTCAGCGTCAGGGAGTTGACTTCTTCCAGACCTTCTCTCCCACCCCGAAGATGACCACTCTTTGGGTGTTGCTGCACGTTGCCGCTCAGCGTGACTACGAGCTTCACTCTCTTGACTTCAGCACGGCTTTCTTGCAGGGCAGCCTACACGAGCGTGGGTCGTTCCCTGGGATGCGTTCTGGCGTTCTGGCTGCGCCGTCCTCCTGGCTTCACTGGGTCGTTCCCTCCTGGTACCCAGTGGAGCCTCTGGCGGCCGGTCTACGGTCTCCGCCAGGCGCCACGCGAGTGGCACGACACACTGAGGACGACGCTTGCGGCTCTTGGGTTTGCTCCCTCCACTGCAGACCCGTCACTGTTCCTGCGCACAGACACGTCGCTGCCGCCGTTCTACATCCTCGTGTACATCGACGACTTGGTCTTTGCTACTGCTGACACTGAGGCACTTGCCCTTGTGAAGTCGGAGCTGCAGAAGAGACACACGTGCACAAACCTGGGTGAGCTGCGCAGTTACCTTGGCTTGCAGATCACTCGGGACAGAGCACGCCGCACCATCACCCTGACTCAGTCACACATGGTGCGGCAGGTCCTTCAGCGCTTTGGTTTCCAGTTCTCCTCACCACAGTCCACTCATTTGTCTACCAGCCACTCGCTCTCAGCTCCACCTTCGGACGAGTCCGTAGAGCCGAGTGGCCCGTACCCAGAGCTTGTGGGCTGCCTCATGTACCTGATGACCTGCACTCGACCTGACCTCGCGTACCCTCTTAGCATCCTAGCTCGCTACGTCGCGCCTGGGAGACACAGGCGAGAGCACTGGGAGGCTGCTAAGAGGGTGCTGTGCTACTTGTGCAGTACATCAGGCATGGGGCTGGTGCTTGGAGGACAGGGCTCGGTTGTCCTCACTGGACACTCAGACGCCTCTTGGGTTGACGACCTGACTACGCAGCGGTCGTCACAGGGTTATACCTTCAGCCTTGGCTCTGGCTCTGTCTCGTGGCGGTCCACCCGCTTTTCTTGTGTTCTCAGCTCCAGTTGTGAGGCTGAGATCTACGCCACGGCCATGGCTGCACAGGAGCTTCGTTGGCTCACCTACCTGCTGACTGACTTGGGAGAGCGGCCTCATTCTCCTCCAGTGCTGTACGTCGACAACAAGGCAGCCATTGCCTTGTGTCAGGGGCACAGACTGGAGCACAGAACGAAGCACATTGCTCTCCGGTACTTTCTTGCTCGAGAGTTGCAGCAGCGTGGTCAGCTTCGTCTTGTGTACGTGGACTCAAAGGCCAACACTGCTGATATATTCACCAAGGCACTTCCGCCTAGTGACCATCAGCGGCACTGTACTGCGTTAGGCCTTGTGTGCACGTCCTCTCACTTGCTTACTGCTTGACTTTGTTTGCACGGTGATCTATATATATCCTTGCATGCTTACTCTTGCTAGGCTTTGATCACTGTCTTGCTTGTATTGTTCTATATTACTTCTGCATGTGAACTGGCCTTGTGGCCTTTGCTTGTGCTCAGAGAGTGTGGTGACGTTGTGATCCACCCTGGGCTTGCTCTGTCTTGCTTGACTGGTCTTGTGACCCCTTGTTCTCCCCCACTTTGCCTATGGGGGTGTGTCAAAATATACATGTGATATATGTGTGTAGGCTGTAGTGGGGTAGCCAATATGGGGTACAACTCCATTAGGGTTTCCTATTTTATACCAAACTCTCTTCCAGTTTCACTCATTCCTGTCTCTAGACTTCAACACCTTATCCCTCGACGACTGTGGTGAGGCGATGTACCAAAAGCGACGAGCCTGAACGAGGAGTGTGCAAGTTGCGTTGTTGCTGATGAAATGGAAAACGTGGAGATGGGATGGGGGAAGGGGGTGCAAGCAAAGGCGGGCGGGACCAGAGAGTGATAGACTTGGCAGTATGCCTCAAAACACATTGGGATTGCCTTCCTGGGCTGTCCCATCTTCGAACTTTGGACAGCGAAAAGTGCACTTGGCACGTGCAAGATATAGGGCAGGGTGATGAGGTGGAGGGGGAACGAATCTGGACGTAGCAATTGTTCAGAAGCTCCAATGTGCGAACACCCCACATGATTAGACGGTTGGGCCTGACCAACTAGAATTGAGATGCGATCACAGATCGTAGATGGAGTCGTGCAGGAAGCTTTGATCGCACACACAAGAGTAGGTGAGAACGTGAAAGCTGCCACGCTGGACCCAGATATTTAAACTTTTGGGGGCTGTCCTGTCCAAAGTTCGCAGGAAGGCGATCGTAGAGAGACCTTTACGGAACGGGAAGCAGAGCAATGAAACACATCGAGAGACCTGTACGGAACAGAAGCAGAGCAACGAAGCATGTGCCGCACCGTCCGAGCCTGAACATCACCTGGGTCGGCTTCGATTGACAGTGCGGAGGGCTTGTGGGCAGCAGCGTTCACCTGCACGTGCATGGATACACTGGACAAAAATGCCCAATAAGAGAGGCTCGGGCAGCCAGAGCCAAGCTGTAGCTGGGCTCGGCTGGGCAGTCGGTTCGAGGTCTGGCAACCTGGAGATAGTGACAACAGCACTCGCTAGAACACTGGGAGCTGGTAGCAAAGATGACTTATAGAATGACTTTTATTGGCAAAGAGTAGGACAAACAATTTTGTTTGGTATTTGTGTACCAAAGCTTGATGCACACGAAAACAAAGCTAGTGATGGGTAATCCAAATGGGTGGCCTCAACACTGTTAGTCAAGCAAGAATTGAGTTGACGACAACATCCCTGCAAGAAGCTCACAATTATCTTAGATAACACACCAAGGTGTACGTTCAGCCATTATATCGTCTTGGTTTATGGTCTCATATTTGGCTAGGGATTCCAAGGATAAAATTCAACTTATGGGCGGTATGCTGCATGCATACCCGCACTAGGCCTTGGTGTTGGTGGATGACCGGCGCGGCAGATTCCACGTGCTGACAGCCTTATCCATTCCCTCTGCTGCCACCAACCGGACTGCATCAACCGCCCTCTCTATAGCCACATCCACCTGTGTCATGGGTCACAGACCACAAATGGGTATGCAATGCATAAAAAGGAAACCGTCTCATACTATGAAACCGTCTCAACTGGTATCACAGCTTTCTGCTATCTCTCAGCAAACCATACATTTCAAATCTGCATTTTCACAGTCTTACCTCCTCCCTCCCTCTCGAGGTGCCTTTTGAGTCGACTCAAAATTCAAACCCATGCGCACATTCTCACGAACTCGCCTCCTCCCTCCCTCTCCATGTGCGAGATTCACTGCAGCACATACACTTCGGAGTCTGCCTTTTGATAAGTCCGAAGACAAAGTAGAAACGCCTCAACACTCGACGCACACACCACCTGCTCCCTCTCACCTCTTCTCTCTCCCTATCTGAAAACTTCTGCAGCACATACACCTTGGCCTCCATGCGTCCTGGTGGCCTCCCAATGCCTGCATGTAAACCACATGAAATGAGTCAATTTGTTTCTCAACTCAGAAATCTCTCCTTGTCTGACTGATAACCGCTGCAGCACATACACCTTGGCCTCCATGCGTCCTGGCGGCCTCCCGATGCCTGAATGCAAACCACATGGAGGGAATAAACTGGTGTTTGATTTGACTCGGGAATCTCTCCGTCTGACTGACAACCGCTGCAGCACATACACCTTGGCCTCCATACGCCCGGAGGGCCTCCCGATGCTTGCTTGCAAACCACATGGAGGGATCAACTCAATCTAGAATCTCTTCGACTGACAACCGCTGCAGCACATGCGCCACCTTGGCCTCCATGCGTCCTTCTGGCCTCCTGATGCCTGTATGCACTGATGACATCAGCATGACGTCACCATGTCATCACACAAACATGTTGCACATTATAAACATTTGACAACCAGAGTGGTAGCAATTACGTGCCCACAGCAGGCCAGCATGGCAACAGCAGGTCACATCGCATCGCAACAGCAGGTCACATCGCAACTGAGCAGACACTGACCAGTGACCAAATCAAAAATTGCCACTGACCGAATCAATTTTGCCACTGACAGTATCAATTTGCCACTGACCGAACCCAGACGGGGAAAGTTCCGCGAGCCCTGGAAGTGCTGCATTATGCTCTTCATGCTGGCCGGGGGGGATGGGGCTTGGGTAGTGGGGAATGGATGGGTAGGGCATGAGGAAATGGGGCACGAGGGAACTATGGGAGAGTGAGGCATGGGAAGATGGGGCATGAGGGAATGGCAATGGTCAGGGGAACGATGAAATGAGACTTCAGGGAGAAACTTGGGCGGTAGTATGCTTATTGTAGTCACTTTTGGATTTATTCAAAAGTAACATGCAGGTGTGAGTATGCATGAGACGTTTCACGATTCCTCAACCATGGGTAGAAGGGAAGCCAGAGGGAGGATGAGGGGTAGAAGGGAAGCCAGAGGGAGGATGAGGGGGGATACAAGGAGAGAAGGCACACAAAATGATGGTGATGATGATGGTGATGATGATGGTGATGAGAGGATAAAAACAACGAGAAAAGGAAAAGGAAGGCAGAGGGATGTGGAACACTCTCAATCCTTTCAGTGACGTTTAGCTAGGAGACGTCTCAAAACACTTTCACTGAAAGGGACGGCAGAGATAGAAAGTGAGTGAGTGAGTGAGTGGCCTTCATCCTTTCATTGCTGTACCTCACTAGCTGACCTCCTTTTCCTGCACTCACCCGTTGTGCCCCCCATGCCCCGCTTTGGCAAGAAGCTTCATGGAAGCTACGTCCAGATCCATGTCATCGTAGATCTGAGGGGCGGGAAGGCAGGGCAGCCGTCAAAAGGCCAAAGGCCCCTCGGATCTAGGATCTAGAAGGCCCCTCGGATCTACGTGATGGGAAATCATGACAGAGCAATAAAGGTTGATGCGAAGAAGATAAGAGGGCATGGAACGGCATAACATGGCATGGGTATGGCGTGGCATGACATGGTATGGAAGGGCACAGCATGCAGGCTGTGAAGTGACATGGGTCAAGGGCAGGGCATGACTTACAGCCATGACTCGCTCGGGTGGAATCTTGTAGAACCGAGCCAAGGGCCCCACCTGCAATGGGGTGCGGTGGTATGGAGTGTGGTGGTATGGAGTGTGGTGGTATGGAGTGTGGTGGTATGGAGTGTGGTGGTATGGAGTGTGGTGGTATGGAGTGTGGTGGTATGGAGTGTGGTGGTATGGAGTGTGGTGGTATGGAGTGTGGTGGTATGGAGTGTGGTGGTATGGAGTGTGGTGGTATGGAGTGTGGTGGTATGGAGTGTGGTGGTATGGAGTGTGGTGGTATGGAGTGTGGTGGTATGGAGTGTGGTGGTATGGAGTGTGGTGGTATGGAGTGTGGTGGTATGGAGTGTGGTGGTATGGAGTGTGGTGGTATGGAGTGTGGTGGTATGGAGTGTGGTGGTATGGAGTGTGGTGGTATGAAGTGTGGTGATATGGAGTGTGGTGATACGGGGTGTAGTGATATGGAGTGTGGTGATACGGGGTGTAGTGATATGGAGTGTGGTGATACGGGGTGTTGCTCAGGTTCATGAGAGGCGGAGGCTTCACCAGCAGCAATCTGATCTTCGCTGATTATCCTTCCCCATTCCCTCCCTTCCCCCTCACACTCGCCCCATTATTGCCACTCACGCTCTCCACATCTCCCCACTCACGCGCTCCCCATCATCCCCCCACTCACGCGCTCCCCATCATCTCCCCACTCACGCGCTCCCCATCATCTCCCCACTCACGCGCTCCCCATCATCCCCCCACTCACGCGCTCCCCATCATCCCCCCACTCACGCGCTCCCCATCATCTCCCCACTCACGCGCTCCCCATCATCTCCCCACTCACGCGCTCCACATCTGGGTCTTCACCAGAACAATTAGGCCTTTCACCTCTCAGGACCTGCTTCAAGTCTGCTCAAAAGCTTTCACCTCTCAGGACCTGCTTCAAGTCTGCTCAAAAGCTTTCACCTCTCAGGACCTGCTTCAAGTCTGCTCAAAAGCTTTCACCTCTCAGGACCTGCTTCAAGTCTGCTCAAAAGCTTTCACCTCTCAGGACCTGCTTTAAGTCTGCTCAAAAGCTTTCACCTCTCAGGACCTCCTCACCCGACCCCATGCCAACCCCCTACCCACCCAACCATAGCCACTCACGCTCTCCCCGCTGAGGTGCATGAATGTCTGCGGCTTCACCAGCAGCACTTTGAGCTCTCATCATCAAAGTCCGTTCCCCCTCCCCCTAGCCCACCACCCTTCCGTCTCCACTCACGCTCTCCCCGCTCCGGTGCATGGACGTCTGCGGCTTCACCAGCAAGATAAAACCTCTCACAGCTCAAGATCTTCTGGCACCCTCCCTCCCATCCTCCCACCCCACCATAACTACTCACGCTCGCCCCGCTGAGGTTCATGAACGTCTGTGGCTTCACCAGCAGCACGGGGCACCCCGCAATGCGCCCCTTGCATGGCATTGCCCTGCTCTGCACGGCATTCAGGGATAAGCCTGGTACCTATCGCTCTCATAACCCCGTGCCTCCCATCCCCACCCCCCACCACTCACGCTCTCCCCACTGAGGTTCATGAACGTCTGTGGCTTCACCAGCAGCACGGGGCACCCCGCAATGCGCCCCTTGCCTGGCATTGCCCTGCTCTGCACGGCATTCAGGGATAAGCCTGGTACCTATCGCTCTCATAACCCCGTGCCTCCCATCCCCACCCCCCACCACTCACGCTCTCCCCACTGAGGTTCATGAACGTCTGTGGCTTCAACAGCAGCACTCGAAGCTTCCACCCTCAAGCAGGTACCATCAAAACCCCCACCCCACCCCCCTTATCACTCACCCTCTCCCCGCTCAGGTTCATGAACGTCTGGGGCTTCACTAGCAGCACTTTGAGGCCCCACTATCGATCAGGTACCATCAAAATCCCCATCACCCACCCACCAGCAGCACCGGGCACCCGGCAATGCGCCCCTTGCCCACCACTGCCCTGCTCAGTATGGCACTCAGGAATATGCCTGGTAGTACCTACCGCCCTCATACCCCTCTCCCTCCCATCCCCAACCCCCACAACTCACGCTCTCCCCACTGAGGTTCATGAACGTCTGTGGCTTCAACAGCAGCACTTTAATTTAATCGTCTCATACCATCCTCTCCCTTCCCCTTCCTTCCCCTTCCTTCCCCTTCCCCCTCTTCCCATTCCCCTACCCTCGCTCCAATTTACACTCGCCCCACCATAGCCACTCACGCTCTCCCCGCTGAGGTTCATGAATGTCTGTGGCTTCACCAGCAGCACGGGGCACCCCGCAATGCGCCCCTTGCCCACCACTGCTTTGCTCTGCATGGCGCTTAGGCTTAAACCCTCCGCCCTGGCTATGGCGTCTATCACCTCGAATCCCACCTGCAGCAGGAGAGAGGGGAAAGGGTTGGGGTTGGGAAGGATGAGGAGAGGGGAATGCAACGCGCCGCTTGCCCACCACAGCCCTTGCTTTGCTCTGCATGGCGCTCAGAGATATGCCCTCCGCCCTGGCTATGGCGTCTACCACCTCAAATCCCACCTGGTGGGGTGGTGAGCAGGAGAGAGGGGGGTGGGAGGAGCAGGGGTAAGGGGAGGGGAGGATGAGGAGAGGGGAATGCAATGCGCCCCTTGCCCACCACTGCTTTGCTCTGCATGCATGGCGCTCAGGCTTATGCCCTCCGCGCGGGCTATGGCGTCTACCACCTCAAAGCCCACCTGGTGAGATGGGATGCCGGCAGGAGAGGGAGGGGGCCTGGAGGAGGGGTAAGGGAAGATGGAGGTGAGGGGAATGCAATGCGCCCCTTGCCCACCACCGCTTTGCTCTTCATGGCGCTCAGGTTTATGCCCTCCGCCCTGGAAATTGCATCCATCAGCTCAAAGCCCACCTGGTGGGGTGGGGAGGGCCAGGGGACGGGTGGCAGGGGGGTGTGTGGGGAAGGGACACGATGGAAGAGGCTGGGGGAATGCAATGCGCCCCTTGCAAATCACCGCTTTGCTCAGCATGGCGCTCAGGCTTATACCCTCCGCCCGGGCTATGGCGTCTGTCACCTCGAATCCCACCTGCAGCAGGAGAGAGGGGAGGGGGTTTGGGTTGGGGAGGATGAGGAGAGGAGAATGCAACGCACCCCTTGCCCACCACAGCCCTTGCTTTGCTCTGAGAGATATGCCCTCCGCCCTGGCTATGGCGTCCATCACCTCGAAGCCCACCTGGTGGGGAGAGGAGAAGGAGAGGAGAGGGAAACGGGAGGAAGAGGTCAGCAGCACTGGGATACGCAATGCGCCCCTGGCCCCACCACGGCCCTGCTCTGCATGGCGCTCAGACTTATACCTTTCGCACGAGCTATGGCATCTATCAATGCAATGCGCCCCTTGCCCACCACGGCCTTGCTCTGCATGGCGGTCAGGGCCAGGTGATGGACGTCATAGCCAGGTGCCCTCCGCCCTGGCTATTGCGCCTATCACCTCGAAGCCCACCTGGTGGGTAGGGGAGCAGGAGAGAGGGGGGTGGGAGGAGGAGGGGTAAGGGGAGGGGAGGATGAGGAGAGGGGAATGCAATGCGCCCCTTGCCCACCACGGCCCTGCTCTGAATGGCGCTCAGAGATATGCCCTCCGCCCTGGCGATTGCATCCACCACATGCCTACCAGGTGGTGAGAAGCAGGAGAGACGGAGATGGGGTGGGGTGGGAGAGAGCATGGGGAGGGGATAGACCGGAGGCCTATCTGGTGAGAAGGGCGCGGGAGAGAGGAAAGGGTTTGTGGGGAAGGGGGAAGGAAGAGGCTTGAAGCTTCTCTGGTGGGGAGCAGGAGAGGGCGGCAGGGGGCAGAGGGGCAGAAAAAGCAAATTGAATGCATGCGGGAGGATGACTTTTGAGTCGACTCAAAAGTCACCTCGTTTGAAGGGCAGAGAAAGAGCAGGTTGAGTGCATGCGGGAAGCTGAGCAAATCATGCTCTCTGCTGATGCGATTGCTGGAGTTTGGCCGAGAATGCCGCGGCTGGCGGACAGAGAATCGGCGCGCTGTGAGTGGGCTGGTCACACCAACCACACTCCCAAAACCCCAAACCTTGAACCCCGAATGCTGAGCATCTCATGTGTCCCCTTACCCCCTTTCCCTTTCTTCCTCGACCCCTTATTTTTTAACATAAATAGATGATTTGGAGCCACCACAAAAACGAATCCGATCCTTAGATTTCTCAAACACGAAACCTGAGGCACCCCTTTCTCCTCCTCCCCTCCTATCCCCCTTCCCCCCACCCTCTCCCCCTTTCAAACTCTGGTTCTTCGATTTCTCACAGGCCAGTCCCATGCATGCACAGCGGCAACGTACATTGTGCCGCGTGCCCTCGTATTTCATCCCCGGATTTCCCAGCCCCACCAGCATCCACGGCCCACCCCGCCCCGCATCCCCGCCCTTGCTCCGCACGCCCTGCGCCCCCGCGGACTCCTCCGCTGCTTCCCCCGCGGCGCTGGTTGTGACGGCTCTCCGCTTGCTGACGCGGAAGGGCTCCGCGCCGTCGGACGTGGATCGCTTCATGAATGAGGCATATTGGGATAACACGGCGCTGGCGGATAACTCATTGGCGTGTGGAGAGCGGCAGAGAGCAGAGAGACACGCTAGGCTGTGCTCCGCGATGGCGGATGCGAAGGGGGCGCGCGGAAGGGACTCGCGGAGAGGCCTGGGGATTCTTAGTTGTGAAGACGTTTCGGAAACCAAAACCCGTGCGCGCACTCCCGTAAAAAAGGCGCGCGGAGCCGCCTTGAGAGGTGCGGCTGCGCTTGGCGCGCAGCAGACTCGAAGCGCAGTCATGGACTGGTTGCTGCTGACTGGAGTGACGCACGTCCGCGTTTTAGGGAACATCTACGAGTGCAGCACCCATCCATCGAACTAGTGGCACCTCTGGATCCACTAGGGATGCATCCTTCTATGATGAATTTGAAAAATTCGAGAAGTTTTGCGTACGTATGGCCCAATCTCGTTATGTACAATTCGGCATGCTATGCTGCAATGAGGGCATTCTATGAAAGATGATGTTTTGTTCGAATTTTGACGCGGTGCAACCCATCCAGCACGCGCGACTGTCGGCCCACCACCAGGCTTGATACGATCTTGTGAAACCGCGTGCGGAGGGAAAGGATATACTGTAGCAACATCACACGATGGAATGTGGCTGCTTTTGTGTCGTGTTCCGCTCGACCTCCCTCCTCACCAAACTTATGTTTTCCTTTCCATCTCCCAAGCTGTCACGTACTACGTACTGAAGTGATCCAGCCCCGTACTCAATAAACTGGCAACGTGTTACAATCCATCGATCGGTTCGAGACAGGTCGGTTGAGGACGCGTCACAATTGCAACACCGGGGAGAATCGGGGACCGAACACCTAAAATGTGTGCAGCGCGTATGAAAATCGGTTTCCAATCTGCATGAGCAGTGTTAGGCTGCTTCTCCGAGCCAAGTGAGACAAGACTGGATTTGCAAGTGGGGGACCTCCACCAAGTGTACAGCCAGTTACGAGAGCAGGTGCCGTGCTTCGCTGGCGCGTCGTTCACTTTCGCCTGGGTTGTGACGACGCGGTCGCACAGCGAAGATGTCGCCCAAAGACAGTTTGCGATGTCGCTCTGTTACCACTTCGAAAGTGGCCGATAGTATGCGACGACGATCGATCGTGGTTGGCACCGGTGGCGCGATTTCGTTTCCCGCGCTGCCAATCGCACGATCGAGTGGCATTTCGAGCGGGGCAATCTCGTCAAGCTGCAAGTTCACGTTATTCGCGTCATGGTTGTGCGAAATCAGGATACAAATAATTCGCCAACTGGCGAACTCACTGCAGATGGTGAACACCGATCCTACACAGGATCGGTGTTGCAATTGTGACGCGTCCTGAGGTCGACCAAAGACGACCCGGGCATTGCTGAATGGAGCTACAAGGAATTACTACAGCGGAATATTAGCCCAATTTCCCTGCACGCTAGGCAAATAGTGACGAGATACATCAACTCGCCGAGCCATTTGTAACTCAGACACCTTGCCTCGCTGGTTCGGCTACCCGGAGACGAACTCCGAAAGAATTGCTTGTTCGGGTAACCATATCAGGTCGGCCTTTCGACCAAATCGTTCGGGCTGGTTTTCGAAGACTAAAACCAGTTTGATCGGGGTGTACTGGATCGGCTTGATTAGCAACAAAGCTTTTCTGGAAAATGAGAGATCAGGAGAGACTGGTTCGATCGAGACAATCCAGCCCGATTGCGTACGGTGTTTCTGCGGTACTGTTACCCAGCCATCATATGGAACCCAAAATAAAGTCACACATGTCAGCTTCCACGAACACTATCTGTACCCTGCATTTGCCAAGAGTGGTTTCTAAGATAGTGTTCGCGGAATGACAGTGACAATGACAATGACACTACTGTATCTGCACCCTGCATCTAAGCGTCTGTGACAAGGACTCACTTGGTTTCCATCCTATTCCTACTCCTGTCAGGCTGTTTGCACTGGATTCTCCTGGCTTCGTTCTGAGGAACCCTGCCGTTTAAGTGCTCCCGTTTTAAGTGAAGGGTGAATTCAAGCGAGTTGACGTTGGAGTTGGAAGCGCCACTAACAATTCCTAGTATTGCTACATTTCGAGACAGAATGGGTAATGTGTTGATGAATAAAACTCTTGTGGATAATTCTGCCCTGTAACAGTACCCGCTCGGTTAATAAATATTCCACCCTCTTCGCCAAACCCTTCGCCAGCCTTCAAATTGGTCCTGATTCCGGCCATCTGTGCCAGCCGATATGCTGGCAGGTGTGCTGTGCCAGCAACGAAACCATCCTGATTCCTGATGCCACCGAATTTTGTCGCACAATCGTGGGTGTATTCGCCTGGCTCCATCGCAAGCGTCAATGTGGGATGGGGGACAGGGCTGTCGATTCAAGGGCATATGGCCTTAATGCCCAACTTTAAGGTCTGACTTTGCCCCAAAGTCCAGATTCTCAGGGTTGATTTTTTGTACAGCCCGGAATGATAACGGGCGTGGGCTGGGCCTTCCCCTGATTCTTACAGGGGCCTCTTGGAGGGTTTCCCTGATTCCCGCGGAAGTTTCCGGCCTACCCGGAAAATTTACAGCCCTTCTACCCCCCCCCCTCCCACCCTCTCCCTTCCCGTTTTTCCCTTTCCATCCCATCCCATCCCATTTAATCCTACCCTACCGTGAAAATGCTAGATTACGACGTGGACTGGGCAGGTGTGTACCAGATCTTCGACGGGGAGAAGCGCCGCAAGCCTGCCACTTAGTTATTAGTGTTGAGAAAGTAGATTGGTAGATTGCAGTTCAAAATTAACTCTGCCTTTATTAGTTTTCGTTATATAGAGTTTGCCCTGATTGTTGTAGTGTAGCCCTGAATTTAAGTTTTTGGTTGGGTGCTTTCCCGGACGCTTAAAGGCTCGGAAAAGGACACTTCCCGGAGATTTCAGGGCTGAAATACGGGCACCTCAGACTCTCAAGTGTTGGCCTGGAACCAATCGACAGCCCTGATGGGGGATCGACGGGATTCTCAAGGTGGGCAGAAGAACTCGAAATTCGTTGGCTCTACAGTACTTGACTGCGGTGGTGCTGCCTCTCTCCAGTGTTGTGTACTGTACAGTGTCTATAGTAGTTCGGTTTAGTTCGGTTTGTCCATCCCTCCTCTCTCAACCTCGGTCTTGGTTTTTGTTCGGTTCGGTGATTGCCTTCCGCTTTGTTCCTACTTCTTCGTGTATTCCTAGTATTTCGGCTAGGGTTTGCTTGGTAGCCATGGTGGTTGTCTCGCGAATCCAAGACCCATTCTTGCTCCGCTTGGTTCGCTGAGTGGAGGTCTTCCAGTCATCGTGATACGGGGTTTCTACGGATTTTTTATACTACTCGACTAATTTATATTCAGTATTTATCTACATTGTTTGTTGAGGCCCAATGGCTCCAGACATTCGCGCGGTTGCGGGATGGGGTCAGCGCCTAGCTCTCGCACTCAAACGTTCCTCGCAACGCCTCCCGCGCTTCCGCCGAGACGCCGCGCAAAACGGTGAAGTCTCCGCTGACGCAGACGCCAAACCGCCAAGCCCCAGTCCACCCGCGCAGGCGGCATCTGCGCCGTCCGGATCCGGCGGAAAAGCTTCGCGAGGCGCGGGGAAGGCGGGACCGGGGAAAGGGAAGGGGATCGGGAAGGTGCGACCATGGGTGGTGCTGCAGCGACAGTGGCTCACGATCTTCCTCGTGGCGTGGCTGCTGGGTGGCTTAGCGCTTGCCACGTGGACCGTGTTGTATTCACACAGCGCGCTGCAGGAAGAGCGGTACTCCAGCCTGCTGACGTGGTGCGGTGAACGCGCGCGTTCGCTCGTGCATCAGTTTCGGTCGTCGAGCGACCATGCGATGGTGAGTCGCGATCGTCCGACTTTCTACTTATCGTCTCTGTGACAATGCTGCATTTATTTTCCGTAGGATTCGGGCTTAGATCTGTTTTCATGCTATGGTATCTTTCCGCTGAGCCTGTTTTTTCCAACGGGTAGAACGGATAAGCGGATGACGATAAGAAGGGCGCCGTGCGGTGCAGAGCGGTTCCTATTTTCAGTCCGAAATATGCGTGCGGTTGATGGCGTGGATCGCGGCAACGTGGGGAGGTTGCGCGACGGACTGCGATGGGAGTTTGTGCGACGTAATGCGATGAGTTGTGCGACGGAATGCGATGGTTATTTGTGCCACGCACTGCGATGAGTAACGGCGACGGGATATGTGATTGGATCAAGCAATGCGCGTCAGTACCGATGCCATGTGAAATTTACCGGTGTTGGTCACCATTCTCGCCGTCGTCGTCGTCGCCGTCGTCGCCATCGTCGTCGCCGTCGCCGTCGTCATCTTCGCCGTCGCCATCATCGCCGGCATCGTCGTCGCTGCCGTCGTCGCCGCCGTCGTCGTCGTCGTCGCGCCTACACTCGGGTGCATTCAATGTACCTACGGATGTGTGGCTCTACGACTACCATCCCCGCTTATTGCGGCGAATGTTTTTTCACCCGCGACAGCGTCGTACGACATCGTTACAATGTCGCACGGCCTCGATACAATGCTCGTTAGAGCGTCGCAAGGCCTCGCGAAAATGTCGCGCAACTTGCAGCAGCCATTCTCAGAGTGTTGAAGGTCGTTCGCAGGGTTGGTCTCGCGATCTCTCCAATCCCGCCTCCCTCCCATGGCTTGTCCACGTCCTTCAAGGACGTCCATCAAGCTCGACTCTTGCTCCTTTGGTCTTTCTGCTACGTTCTCTCTGCTCCGGTTTCGTTGCCTACCAGCCCAGGTTTGCAAGTCGTCGCAAGCCGACGTATGCTTTCTCCAGGTATCGCAGCCTGCGAACGTCGCTAGTGTTCGTCAATTGATTCACTCGAGATATTTTTTGTTAAACTCGAAAGCACCTTCCACGCTCTTTATACCCCCCTCCCCACCCCCGGTCGTTTCCAGCCTCGTGAACGCGTCCGGGGAAGCGGCGCACGCTAATTCGTCCGGAGAACCGGCCCACGCTGATGCGTCGGGGGATGCGGCGCACGGCAACGCGCGTTGCTACGTCGGCCTTGCATCACGCGCGGCTCTCCTCGCGATGCCGTCCGTCCCCCTTCCCCCGCGTCGCAGGCGTATTTCGATTTTTCCTCACTTCGTGTGCAACCGTACATAGCCCCTTTCCCTTCCTCCTTTCCGCTTCCCCTACCCGCCCGCAGGTGTTTACTGGCTTGTTCGACGTGTTCCGCGAGACGGCGGACGGCAACCCGTGGGGGTACGGCAGCTGCATCACGCGCTGATCGTGCCTTCCCACTTCCATTTCCCCGTCCCCCTTCCCCCTTCCCCCCCGCCTCCCGCAGGTATTCACGGGGCTAGTCGACGTGTTCGGCGAGACGGCGGACGGCAACCCGTGGGGGTACGGCAGCTGCATCACGCGGGAGAGCTTCCAGGCGTACGTGAACGAGACGAGCTACGCGCGCCCGTGGGTCTCCGCCATCACCTGGATCGTCTTCGTCACGCACGCGCAGCGGTAAGGGTGGGAGCGGAGGGGGTAGAGGCGAGGATCGCACAGCCAGAAGGTCGCACGCACGCCCAGCGGCGAGCCATCGCACGCGCAAAGGGTCGCATAGCCAGCGGCGAGCCATCGCACGCGCAAAGGGTCGCATAGTCAGCGGTGAGCCGTCGCACGCCCAAAGGGTCGCATAGCCAGCCGTGAGTCACCGCACGCGCAGCTGTGAGCCATCGCACGGGCGGAGGGTTGCACAGCCAACCGTGAGGCGTCGCACGGGTCGACTCAAAGACGCCTTCCCTTCCTCCTCTCCCTCCCTGCCTCTCTGGTCCTCCCCTCCCACCATCCCCCCTCCCACCACCCCTACCCCACTACACCCCGGAACCGATTTCGTGTCGAGGTAAAGCGTGGCGATCAAGAGCCAGAGCACAAAGCAGCCGTCGCCTAGCCTAGCTGCGACTTTAGGTTTGACTCAACCTCTTTGCCCTCCTCTTCCCTTCCCCCCTCTCCTCTAGAGCCGATTTTGAGAAGAAGTTCAATGTGACGATCAAGAGCGACAGCACGAAGCAGCCGTCGCCCCCGCGCGACTGGTACGCTGTGTTTCTGTATATCTCCCGGGGGGCGCTCACCAACAACAGCGACTGCTGCTACGACGGGAGGCAGTACAGCCGGTTCAAGGAGGCCATAGAGCACGGCATCAAGACGCACAACACCACCATCACGCCTACCTTCGCCCTCGCTGCCAACGGCAACCGCGGCCTCGGTGCGTCCCTCTCACCACCCTCACTCCCACCGCTTCCCACCACTTCCCACCGCCTCCCACCACCCACAGAGCTGAATTTGAGTCCAAGTTCGGCGTGACGATCAAGAGCCAGAGCACCAAGCAGCCGTCGCCTCCGCGCGACTGGTACGCCGTGTTTCTGTACATCTCGGAGGGGTCGCGCACCAACAACAGCGACTGCTGCTACGATGGGCGGCAGTACAATCGGTACAAGGATGCCATAGAGCACGGTATCAAATCGCACAACATCACCATCACTCCAACCTTCTTGATTCGCGCCAGTGGCAACCGCGGCCTCGGTAAGGGGGTGTGGATGACTTGATGGGGGGGAGTACGGTAGCGGGCGGAGGGTGCCCATCGGGGTTATCACTTTGAGGCGCCTCAATAGTTGTCCATAAAGTTCCCCTCTGCTCCCCCTCGCCTTTTTTGGGTTACTTTTGTGCTGTCCCACTGTGATTCTTCCACTGTCGGTTCCTGCCATGCCACACCACACCACACCATGCCATCCCACGCCATCTCACACCATGCCATGCCATAACACACCACGCCATGCCATGCCACACCACACCATGCCATGCCATGCCACACCATGCCATCCCACGCCATCGCATGCCCCATCCCGTGCCATTTTACGCCCCACCATGCCATGTCCGCCCCACGTGCAGGCCTGGGCTTCCCATCCCAGTGCCAAAGAACACTTCGGATGGCGGGCAGGAGATGAAAGGCATGACAGGCGCAGCTTTTGAGAATTCTCATGTGTGAATCTATCTTATCCCATCCCACACCGCGCCATGCCATGCGCTGTGCAGGTTTGGGCTTCCCGGTGCTGAAGAACACAACAGACGGCAGGCAGGAGATGAAGGGCATGATCGGCGCGGTCATTGACATGCAGGCGCTCATAGACTTCCTCCTCAAGAAGCTGCTCTCTGCTTGTGAGTCGAAGTTCAAAGTCTCAGCAAATTGCTTTCACGCCTGTGGGTCGCTCCCAGCCTGTGAGTCACCATGTATCACCTCCGGAGTGAGCGCGGGAGATGAAGGGCATGATAGGTGCACTCATTGACGTACAGGCGCTCATTGACGTACAGGCGCTCATAGGCTTCCTCTTCAAGAAGCTTCTCTCCGCCTGTCAGGCTAGAGGTCTCGAGTTCGAGTCTAGGCGTGTACATCTGTGCGATGCTCTCAGCTTTTGAGTTATAGTGGATCGCCTTGAGAGTCACGGCAGGGGATGAAGGGCGTGTAGCGTTCATGGACATGCTGTGCCTTGGAAGAGGTGCTGACCACGCACTTCAACTTCCTTCTCAAGAAGCTGACCCACCCGCCCCGTGCCTCTCTCCCTTTCGAGGTGGCCTTTAAGTCGACTCAAAAGGCGCCGATCACGCTCTTCAAATACCTTCTCAGGATGCTGACCCGCCCCGTGCCCGTGCCTCGCTCCCTTTCTCCTGCAGCCGCACCCTTCAAGCTGCAGCTGTACGATGTAACGAACTGCACTGCACTCATTCTGATGTACGACAGAGAGCCACCGACGGCTACACCACGCTGCTCGACCAGACGGCTTCTGAGGGCCCCCTAAATTCCTCCTCACTTCTCCCGCTTCTCCCCTTCCCGTGCCTTCTTCACGCTCCCCTTCCCCTGCAGCTGCGCCATTCAAACTCCAGCTGTACGATGTAACGAACCGCACTGCACCCGTCCCGATGTACGACAGCGAGCGCACGGACGGCTACACTACGCTGCCCGACCAGACGGTGGCGCCCGCCTCGGACGAACTGCTGCAGCCAACCAGGTTCCGCCACGTGGAGCCCATTGACCTCCGGGATCCGTCTCGACAGTACGAGCTCTGGTGCCGGTGAGTGTGTCACGACTCTTAGTAACTGTAGATCTGCAGTTATGTGGGTACTGAGTGTGGTGGAGAGGGGGCTTGGGGAAAATGGGAGGGCAGGACGAGCTTGGAGACCTGGGGATGCGGCAAACACAGCAACCTCCCCGGTTTCACTCGTCCTTGCTTCCTCATCCCGTTGTCTCCCTCTCCTTCTCTCCCCTTCTCCCCCCACCAGGTACACGGAGAGTGACACGGTGGCGTGGGGGTGGAGCTCGCTGTCGTGGGGCGTGCTGCTGCTGGTGGTCTTCATCCTCGTCTTCTACATCCTCCTAACCATGGGCCGCCAGAACGCCGCCATGCGCCGCAACTACCGCCGCATGGAGGCCCTTAAAGCCCGCGCCGAGGCCGCTGACCGAGCCAAGAGCAACTTCCTCGCTACGGTGTCACACGAGATCCGCACTCCGATGAACGGCGTGCTAGGTGAGCTGCACGTGTTCTCTCCGCATCCACATCATCTATTCTACCCATGTGATGCTCGTGATGGCATGCGGACTAACCCCTGTCCCTTTGCTCAACAATGTGTGTGTCCCCCCCCCCCGCCCCACCCCCCCCACCTTCCCCACCCACCCTCCCCCTCCCCCGCCTCCCCCCCTTCCCCACCCACCCTCCCCCCTCCCCCTTCCCTCCCCCCCCCCCAGGCATGCTGGATTTCCTGTTGGATTCGAAGCTGGACGCGCAGCAGCAGGAGCATGCGCGCATGGCCAAGGCGTGTGGGCAGACGCTGGTGTCGCTGCTCAACGACGTGCTCGACCTCGCCAAGGTCGAGGCCGACCGCCTCGAGCTCGAACACCTCCCCTTCAACCTGCGCTCCTCTGTTGACGACATTCTCGACATCTTCCGCACCAAGTCCCAGGACCTGGGGCTCGAATGTGAGTGTGCTGTGTGCTTGGGCTCAAACGGAGGGTTTGCACCCTTGGGGTTTTCGTCTCTGGGACCACCTTGAGCTCGAGCACCTCCCCTTCAACCTGCGCTCGTCCATGAATGACCTGGGCCTTCCGCACCAAGTCCCATGACCTGGGCCTTGAGCGTGAGTTGTGGCTAGAGCTAAAGAAAAAAGCCTGGGAAAACCCTTAGTGGTGTGAAAAACATGAACCTCCCAGCCTGGGATTTGAGCATGAGTGGCGTATGCTTGAGCATGAGTGGCGTATGCTTGAGCATGAGTGGCGTATGCTTGAGCATGAGTGGCGTATGCTTGAGCATGAGTGGCGTATGCTTGAGCATGAGTGGCGTATGCTTGAGCATGAGTGGCGTATGCTTGAGCATGAGTGGCGTATGCTTGAGCATTCGCCTGCCTGCCTGCTGCCCCAACTCATCCACCCTTGCTCCTTGCCTCCATCCTTCCTTTCTCCCTTACTTTTCTCTCCTCGTCCATTCCCTACCCCCGCTAGTGGCGGCACTGGTGGACCCGAACGTGCCCGAGGTGGTAGTGGGGGATCGCATTCGGCTGCGCCAGGTGGTGGTGAACCTCATCGGCAACAGCATCAAGTTCACCCAGCGAGGCCACATCTTCGTGCACATCTCCGCGCCCTTCGCCGCCATGCCGGTCCCCTCCTCCCTCCCCTCGCCCCTCACCCTCCGCGCGCGCTTCAACACTCTCGCCGCCTCCGCGCCGCCCGCCTCCCTCGCGATGGCCAATCGCAAGCTGACAGCTGGCGACGGCTGGGGGCTGCACTCCGCGGAGGTCCAGCTGGCGTGCTCGCCGCTGCGTCAGACCGGGCCGATCTCGGCCTCGCTCGCCGCGATTGGCCGGAGCATCTCGCGCGGTTACCAGACGCTGTCCGGCCGCCCGACGTCTCTCGTGTGCGGGCCCGGGGGAACGGCTGGGGCAGGGGCAGGTCTGGGGCAGCCTAGCTGCGGAACAGGCGACCTGGTGGGGTGCTTCCCTGCTCTGCTCCAGCCGGGGTATTTACAGATGGAGGACGGGGTCTCTGTGGGGATTCAGGACGGGGGGATGGAGGAGATGGAAGGAGGGGGGAAGGGCGGGGAGGAGGAGATAATGGTGGGGGAGGGGGAGGGCGCGGAGGGGGAGAAGGAGAGGGAGAAGAGGGAGGACACGATCACGCTGCTCATTACGTGCGAGGATACCGGGGCGGGTATCCCGCTGTCGTCTCAGTCCAAGATCTTCCAGCCCTTCACTCAGGTCTGTACGATGTTGGCGATTTTGATACTCATTTCCTTCATCCACCATTCGCTTTGTGCATCTCCTTGGCTCGCAATCTGTCTTCTTCACTGCCCTTGTCTCCCTCACCTCTGTCCTCTCCCCACTTTCTCATAATCCTCGCGCTCCTCTCTCCCCTCTCCACCCTCCCCTTTCCCTCCAGGCCAAGAGCAGCACAGCACGCACGCACGGAGGCACGGGCATAGGCCTGACCATTTCAAAGCGCCTGGTGAAGCTGATGGGGGGCGACATGACCTTCGTGAATGAGCCAGGCGTGGGCACCACCTTTGTGCTCACTGTCAACCTCGGCCTCATGCCACCTCGCATCCCCCACTCATGCCTCCCCTTCTTCCACCCCTTTCTTCCCCTCTACCCTCTCCCTCCCCTGTACAGGCGGAGAGCAGCACGGCGCGCACGCACGGAGGCACGGGTATCGGGCTGACCATCTCCAAGCGCCTCGTAAAGCTCATGGGAGGAGATATGACGTTCGTGAGCGAGCCAGGCGTGGGCACCACCTTCGTGCTCACAGTCAACCTCGGCCTCATGCCGCCCCGCATCCCCCGCTCCGTCCCCACCTCCCTCCCACCGGACCTCCTCCCGATGCTGGACGACGATCCCGATGCTGCCGCCATGATCGAGAAATTCCTCAACCGAGCCGTGCTGGTGGTGGACGGGCTGCAGGTTCGGCAGCGGGTGGCGAGCAGCGTCTTATCTCGCCTCGGGATCACCCCGATTCCGGCCACTGACGCAGCCTCGGTGCCTGCGATTGCCGCCAGGGGGTTCCTACGGGGCCCGCCCCTGCCTGGGTCAGCCACGTTTGAGGATGACATTCGGCCATGGGATGCTATCTTTGTGGATAAGGACGCGTTTGGCCCCAAGACGGGCTTCCAGGTGGCGCGGGCGATCCGCGAGGCGTTTGCCGCCGCGGAGAAGGGGGCAGGGGAGAGGGGCGTTGGGGAGAGGAGTGTGGGGGAGACGATTCAGGAGGAGGGTGGAGAGGCAGGGGCGGGTGCTGGCAATGGTGCTGGTGGTGCTGCTGGGGCTGGTGGTTCTGGTGGTGGGGGGGCCAGCAAGGCGCGCAAGCAGCCGCCGCTGATTCTGGTGGCGTGTCGGCTGGAGGCGGATGAGAAGGGCGAAGTGGAGGCGTGCGGCTTCGAGGAGCGCCTGCTCAAGCCGCTGCGCAAGTCCATCGTTGCCGCGTGCCTCGTGCAGGTGAGAGCTGGGGAGGTGTTACCTGATGGCAGGTGAGACCTGCCACGCCCCATCCACTCCACCCCCCAAGGTGCTTGGCATAATGACCACTAGTCGCAGCAGCAACACAGAGAAGCAAGCAGCAACACTGTTTGATTCGGCTCAATCTGTGCCCCTCCAACCCCTGCTTTCTCCCTCCCACGACCCCCCTTCAATTCCCACTCTCTCCTCTCCCATCCCCGCACCCCAGGTGCTGGGCATAATCACCACGAGTTGCAGCAGCAACACGCAGCAGCAGCTGCCCCACGGCTGATTCCACTCCCATTGCTGATTCCACTCGCTCATGTTTTTTATTCTCACACCTCTCCATGCACTCTCCGGCCTCCAAACCCCCCCCTTACCCCCAGGTGCTGGGCATAATGACGACGAGTCGCAGCAGCAACACGCAGAAGCAGCAGCGCCGCAAGGCCATGCAAGCCCTCATTGGCGGCCGGCGCATCCTCGTGAGTGGCTGGGTGGGAGTGTGGTGGGGGATGGGTATCGGGGTTTGGGACACTAGGTTGGTATTGGGGTGGTTGGTACCATGTGTAAGTTAACTCACTGCAAGGCCATGCACGGTATACTGGAGTCACTTTGAAGAATTCTCTAAAGTGACTCCTGCGCGCACTCATTGGCGCCCGGCGCATCCTCGTGAGTTGCTGGAGGGGTGGCGTGGATTATGCTTTCCGGTTGAGACGGGGTTTTAGGTTGAGGTGGGGAGTTGCGCTAGGAACAATCTGGAGACAGAAGTGTGAGTGCATCTTCGAGACCTGTCCCGCCCCCTTCTTCCATGCTGTTACCGCCCCTTGCCGTGACCTCACCTCTCCACCCCTCTCCATCCCTCTTCACCCTTCCAACACCAGGTGGTGGATGACAACGTGGTGAATCAGAAGGTGGCAACGCGCATGCTGCAGCGCTACGGCGTGCTGTGTGAGGCGGTGGACAGTGGCATGGCGGCGCTGCAGGCCGTGCAGGACGCTGAGGGGAGAGGGCAGCCGTTTGATGCCATCTTCATGGACGTGCAGATGCCCGGCATGGACGGGTGAGTGCAGTGCGGTTCAGTGCGGTACGGTTGACTGCAGCGCAGTTGAGCATTGTGCGGATGGGTGAGTAGAGTGTGGATGGATGGATCAAGGTGAGTATGCAATTATGGTTGAGAGCTCGTGAATGGTCACCGTGCAAGCTTCTGACTCGGTTTACATCTCCATCTCCCTTTCCTCCCACGCATGTCATCTGCAGCTACGAGACAACACGCTCCATCCGGCGGAGGGAGAGGGAGAGCGGGGCGGCAGCAATCCCCATCCTGGCCATGACAGCTGACGTCATCAGTGGCAGCCGCACGCGGTGTGAGGAGGCGGGCATGGATGGGTTTGTGCCCAAGCCCATTGATGAGGAGCAGCTGCACGCCACGCTCTGGAACTGTTTCGGCCGGGCCTAATTGTAACCCGCTACTGGGCGGTATGGGCATGGCCTTGGTTGGAGTGAGGAGAGGAGGCTGAGGAGGCGGGCATGGATGGGTTTGTGCCCAAGCCCATTGATGAGGAGCAGCTGCACGCCACCATCTATAACTGCTTTGGGCGGGCGTGCCGCTCACTGGAACTGATTTGGGCGGGTTTAACTGGAGGGTTTGGGATGGGGATGGGGTTAATGACTGCCTGGGCTTGGAGAAAACAGTCGGCTTGACCGCTTGGGGATGGGTTCACACTGAAGCTGACAGACACGAAGCAGCTGCACGCCTTGCGAGGCGCCTCAAACATGGATGGGTTTACCGTACGCTGAAGGCGACAGGCTAGCAGCTGCTGCATGCCTCACAAGCTGGCCTTGACTGCTTGGGGATGGGTTCGTGCCAATACTGACAGACTAGAAGCAGCTGCATGCCACCCTACACCTGGCGGGCTCACTGGAACTGCTTTGGGCGGGATCAAGGGGAGGTACTTTGACAGAGGTGATGGTGGCATGGCATGGCATGGCATGGCATGGCTTGGAACAGATGGCGTGACTTGAGACGAGAGGAGAGGCCCTTCTTGACAGAATGAGCCTGTGGCGTAGCTGCTGGGATGTGATAAATATGTTTGTTAGACAATAGGGTCTCTTGTCAGGGTGTCAGTGTTGCAATAAGGAACTCCAGATGCGGTGGGGTTGGGTTGGGTTGGCTTCGGTGGGTGTGCTTTTCTAAGCTAGGAACATATGGTACCAGTATCCTCCTGTTCAAGGCTAATTTATTTGTAAACTACAGGGTTTTTTTATGCTGTGTACTCATGAGTTTCGCACCCATAAATGCGCATTCATCCCATTTCACCATGCATGATGCATGAAAACATACGGTACAGTATCCCCTCCCTTCCCCTCCCCCCCTCTCCCCACCATGCCCTCCTGGACAAAGAGTGCAGCAGAATGCACTACAGCCACGGAGTCAGAGAAGCAGCCTGAAGGCGGGAGAAGTAGAGAGCAGTAGGAGCAACAAAGCTCAACACAGAGAGGCATATGGTATTACGGTATCTCATGGGAGTTCGCGCTGATAACACAGGAGAATAAATTATAGTACCACAGTAGTACCTTCTAGACATACACATGCCTGGAGGCTGGAGGGCAACACTCACATAAACACTGCTAACGTCCCTCTTTCTCTACCAGACATGCTTTATTGTGTATCCGCACAAGAAAACTGAAGAGCCACACCAGCAGAAAGCAGCAAAGAAACATCCCAGCTGAAAGGAGCAAACGGCCGTTGCAGAGTCTAGATGACTTGCGCAGTCTGGCACTTGGTGGTGTTGGACACTCAAATGACAGCAGCAGTCTGGCACTCGGTGGTGTTGGTCATGGAGTAGCTGTTGCCGTTGCCGAAGTGCAGCTCCTGCACGCAGGGCCGGAAGTCCCACGTCCACGCATACACAATGTTGACTGTCTCCCCGGGGAGCATCTGCAGAGTGCCGGTAGCACCGCGGTTCAGCTGCATCTCACAGTACCCCGGCGTGGTCTACACGAAAATGTCGCCTGTCTGGTACTGCGTGGGGTTGGGCGCGGGGTTGGTGAGGACGCCATCCCACACGTTGTTGAAGTCGAAGCACTGCCACACGCGCAGCGGGCTGGTGACGTTGTAGGCGCAGCCGTTGTAGAAGGTCATGTTGTAGATGTCGTTGTGTAGGTCGTACGGCCCCACGTACTGCGACCGGATCGTCACCGTCGTGCGCCCGCACGCTGGGAAGAGGGGAGGGAGGGGGGAGGAGTGAGGTCAGGTTGACGGCCCCAGGTACTGCGAGCGGATCGTCACCGTCGTGCGGCCACATGCTGCAGGCCAGGGAGTAGGGGAGGAAAAGAAACAGAAAAATGTAAGGATTCTGACCATCACCGTCGTGCGCCGCCCGCATGCTGAGAGGAGGGAGGGGGGAAGGAGGGGAGGAAGGAACGCTGGAAGAAAGGAAGCGGGGTGGGAGAGAGAGAGCGGTGGGCCGGACTCAATCATTCAAATCGTCCAGGGGGAGGAAAGGGGAGCAAAGAAGTGAGAAGCACAGGGAGAAGAGAGATGAGAGGCAAGGGGAGAAGAGAGATGAGAGGCACGGGGAGAAGAGAGATGAGAGGCAAGGGGAGAAGAGAGATGAGAGGCACGGGGAGAAGAGAGATGAGAGGCAAGGGGAGAAGAGAGATGAGAGGCAAGGGGAGAAGAGAGATGAGAGGCACGGGGAGAAGAGAGATGAGAGGCAAGGGGAGAAGAGAGATGAGAGGCAAGGGGAGAAGAGAGATGAGAGGCAAGGGGAGAAGAGAGATGAGAGGCAAGGGGAGAAGAGAGATGAGAGGCAAGGGGAGAAGAGAGATGAGAGGCAAGGGGAAAGCATTAAGAGCAGTGGGAGGAAGGGGAGCAGAGCACAAAACTTAGTGCAAGGACCCATTCGGGTAGAGCAGGAGGGAAGGCGAGCAGCGTTGCGTACTGGTGGCGAGGGCCTGGCGGCGGGGGATGTGGTCGAGGTAGCCGGGCAGAGGGGCGCGGTGAGCGAAGGTCTCAGCCGCCAGAATGCGCGCGCTCTTCCGCTGCTGCCCCCCTCGCCCGCGCTGCTGCCCGCGCTGCTGCCAGCACTGCTGTCTGCCTCCCCAGCGGCCATCCCCCTCTCTCCCCTCATCACGTCCCTCGCTGCACTCGCCGCTGTCGCCGGCAGCCCCACCGCCAGCGCCGCCAGCAGCAGCACGCGGCTTGCGAGAGAGGTTGAAAGAGATGGAAGGCGGTTGGTGATGGCTGATCTGATATTCGAGTCGACTCAACAGTGAGCTATTCAGTGAAGAGAGCGAGATGAGCAGAGAGCTGCGGACTGGAGCTGATGAATCCGTGAGAGCCATGGCGGTGGCTTTATAAGGGAAAGGAGGACGCGAGACTTGGAGAGGCATGCTGCGGAGGCTGCAAGGAGAGGATCGCGCCTCTCCTCGATCCTTGGATCCTCGGGGGATGGATGGGTGGCGCGGAGGAGGGTCTACCAAGGGGTCTGAGGGGTCCGAGGAGCGCGAGGAGCTACTCGCCGAGGCGCGATGCTATGCTGAAGGTGAGGTGTCGGTGGGAAGCGATCTATCGCGACGAAAGCAAAGAATGCAACGAAGAGTCCATCGCGGTCGCCGCCGATCACTTCGCGATTGCCGTTGTCATTGGTATTATCACCACGAAGAGTGAAACCGGCAGCGCGGACGCGATTCGTTGCAGCAAGTTTGCAAAGGTTTCAAGCATCTTTGAATGACTTGAATAGATGCAATTACGAAAATCCACGCCAGCAATAATGACGAGGCCTAGACCTGAGTTTTGGGCGTAGCCGGGGGCCAAGTCACAGTGACACGGGGATATGCGCTTAGGGCTGACGCAGCCTGACGTGGATGGGCCACGAACACCTGACTGCTTTGATTGGGTCACGAAAAGTGGATGGCTACCCGGTGTCGCAGCAACTTTGAGACCTTTCTGACACATTGTTCTGACACAAGAAAGACCCAGGTTTTGAACCTAGATGTCCGCCTTACAGCCGCCATGGATATTGTCCCCCACCGCAAAGCCTACAACGTGTAGCAATTTGTTACATGATATTAGATCTGAAGCTATCAGGGGAAGCCTCTCGTTGGGCTCGATCAGGCGATACTCTCATAATGTTCATAACGGAAGCATTGAGTCATCATTGAAAAATTCCAGGCTATCAACTGCGCTACATATCTCAAATCATAATCATGCAAATACGCAGAGTTATTACAAGTGGAAGTGTCAATGTCATGAATACTGTCTCGCGACCTCAGTGTTGGGCTGAGACAGCCTTTAGGATCTTTGCAAGGGTAAACTCTGGGTAGAGATGATGTAATAGCGGAAGCGTTTAATAAAGAGATTTGAACCACCTTGCGCTGGTATGTGAGGGCAAAGTAAGTTGATTAAAGCAAGCTGTCAAACATTGCATGTTTATATTATGTAGGCTGTAGTGGGTTACACCTTAGGGGGTACTCAAAGTTAGGGTTTCCTACTTGTACCAAACTCTGTGCTAGTTCATTTCATTCCTGCTCAGTTATTTCTGACATGGTATCAGAGCGAAGGTCTCGGGTTCGATTCCCGGTGTGTGCACTTCGGGCATCCCAGTGCGGGGGGGTGTCAGAGGTCCACTGGGGATCCCCGATGATCCTAGGGAAGGGTTACAGGCACGTCGGCCTGGGGGGTTATGGGCGCACTCACCCGCTATATAAACAAGCCCTTTTATCCCAGTGGTTAGTGGCTGGGATTCTGACACAAGCAAGTACAAAGATTTATATAAGAGTACAAGGAATACGAAGAGATACGACTGATAACTATTTTACTGTTTGCTGTTGCGGTTCGATACAGTGCGACTCGGGCAACTGCTCAATATCGAGTCAGTTGTGTGTCCTTGCTGTCGCGCTGCATTTGTCAGGTCAAAGGTCGCTGACCTTTGACTTTCGCGTAACCTCCAACAGTTACTTTCAACCTCCGAGGGTTGACTCGCGGGTGTCTCGTTATGATAAACTTCGCTTTGGTGCGGTGTTTCGACACGACAGAGGCGCTTACGACTTGTTGTTTCCAACACTCCCCTTCGCTTCTGGAGTGTCGTTGCTGATGACGTGGCTCTGTCCAGTCAGCAGCATGCAGTACTCGAATTTCTGTTTTCCGAGCTTCTTGGTCAAGTAGTCAGCTGCCATCTCTGACGTGGGACAATATGACAACTCGAGTCTCCCCTTCTCGATCTCGTCCTTCACGAAGAAATAACGTAGGGCGATGTGTTTCGTCCTATTCGCGAAGCCGTTTTTGTTGGCGATGCGAATTGCCGACTGATTGTCGCAGAACAGGGTGAAGTTGGGTAACTCGGCTAATTTCGCTTCTTCCAACAGTTCGCGAAGATAAAGTCCTTCCTTGGTGGCTGAGCAGAGTGCGATATATTCTGCTTCAGCTGATGAGAGGGCGATTAATTCCTGTTT